TAAAATTTTTTTTTCATATATTCTGTAAATCTAATAATGTTGATCAATCTCAATTATGCTTTCTGATTTGTTGACAATGTTTATATCTATTCGTGAAGTTTAAAAACAAATTAAAGATAAACTTGAGATATGTTTCATATTTTTAATTAAAGTAAAAATCATTCATTTATAGAAGTCTGATTTGAGTAATTTTCGTTTTTAGTGATCAAAAAAAAACGAAGAGTTCTTTTTTCTTCAGTAGATAAAAATATTGGTTATACCATTTCTAAAGATAATATTACTAATCAATCAAGACTAGGTATATGTTCGATAATCCTAGTTAGCGTCTCAATGAAAATCTCATTGGAAGTAATATTTAAACAAGTAATTTATGCTGCTGCTTGAATGCGGCAAAACATTTTAAAGAAGCTTTCATCAGGGATCCGGACAGTTGGTCGCAGGACATTTGGTCGCCGGACAGTTGCGCGCGGGCAGTTGGTCGCAGGACAGTTGGTCGCATGGACAATTGGTCGCACGGACAGTTGGTCGTATAGTGGAAATAAGAGGAATATGAGTATAATAACCACACGACACTAATACANTGAGCTCTATCGAACCATGTAAAAATATCCAACAAAAACATTTTAATCCATTTTTCAATTACTGGCACTTCACTTTTCCACCCCCAAAAAAGTATAAAATTTCTGAAAATTTATTTAAGTCGACATTAAAAGGTTTTCATAATCCTCATCATTTAGTACCAATAAACCCCATTTTTCACAGGCTTTCATTTGGTATAAAATTCATCATATCTTCTATTTGAAATTATAGCGGTACCCCCCTTGAATAATATTATTTACCACCCTGTAAAAAAGTATTATTGTGAGTATTAACGAACTTAACTTAACTCAACTTACGATGAAATCTCTTTATATGGTTCCTTTTGATTTCAACGATGTTTTTGCCTACAGATACTAAATAGTGTTCTATTTGAAATCCTAAAACGAAGATTACGGTTGCCATTGAAATTTGACAAAGATATCGAATTTTGATCTGAAACTTTATAAATTTAGAGAACTCAATTAGACTAGTTTTCATGGCAAAATTCAAGAGTTTCGAGCAGGATCTTTTTGAAGTATAAAACTTTCAAGATATAGACGTTTTTTCATGAATATAGTATATAACATGTTTTGTTTTTTTTGAAATCTTAGTATGTCAAAGAGACTTTATGCAAAACTTCTAAATTTCTTTTTCAGGAAGCTAATCTAATTGAGTTCTTCATATGAATAAAGTTTCAGATTAAAATTCGAAAATATGAGGTTTTTGAAATGTGGTGCATCTAGAAAAAAAGATATATTAAAAATTCTGTAACTTACTCAAATATGCATAATAACACAAATCCTTTTGTACGATTTCAATTAAAACACGATGTAGTATCTATAGGCAAAAAAAAAATCATTGAAATCGTAATGAGACGTCTGAAGATATTTTCGTCTTTAATCTTATGCAAATATTATTTCATTTCATACGACATCTACTTTGTAAAGTAAAAGTCTTTCGTAAGATGGCACGAATAAACAGAAATTATGAGGATTTTTTGAATAATACAGAACGGTTTTATCTTATAACCAATGATTCTTTGATTTTGTTTATCTTAAATTTATCTTATTTATATAATTATATTGTTCCATTAAAATGAATAATAGAAACGATGATCAAAAACATCCACTTGTCGTAATACATAATATAACAACATTAACAACTAAACAAATTGAAACATATTGTAAAAAATATGATAAAAATATTCGTTGTTTTCGTAAAAAGAATCGAAATAATCATCAGTATATACATGTTTTATTTTCATCAATAATAACAGCAACTAATTTTCTCAATGATCGTCCACATTTCATTGAAAATTGTCGCATAAAGTAAACTAAGACAAAATCTATTTTTCTCAAAATAAAACAAAAAAAAAAAAAAAAAAAAAAGAGAAATATTTCTTATTTTGTAGTACATCATTAGTTAGTGAACCTCTATATGGATCAAAATTTGTTTGTGTACAAATCGATAAATATGCTTCGATAACTGAAGATAATTTATATGAATATACATCAAAGAATTTTGGATGTGTACTTAATTGTGTTTTATATAAGTCACGCAATTATGCATTTATTGAATTTAGTCAATTAAACGATGCACATCGTGCTTTAGCATCATCAAATCAAAAATTAAATGGTTATTTAATTCAATATTGTCCTAGAAATAATTCATCAAAAATTCTTCCATTATTACCATTAACACGACTTATACATATTGGAAATTTTTTAAATAAAGATCAAGAAAAACTTCAATTTTATTTTTCTAATTTAAAAAATTTTACAATACATAAAAATTGTTATGGACAAACATATATATTAGGATTATTTGATATAAATGATAGTATTAAATTATTATTTAAACGTCCATTTTGTTTAAATGGACGTGTATTAAACATATTTATCGATAATGATGATAAATTAACTGAATGTGATAATTATCTACTTGTACGTAATGTACCTTATCGTCTAAATGATTATAATTTACTTGAATATTTTTCTCAATATGGTCGAATACTTAATTGTTTTCGATATGGTCAAACAAATGCATATCGTATACAATATCGTGATAAAATAAGTTTAAATAAAGTATTAGAATTCAACCGAATACATGTAATTAAAAGTGTTCAAATGCAAATTGAACGTGAACAAAATTAGGATTATACCGATGATGTGTTTTTTTTTTCTTCTTCTTTTGTATTGAGTAAAATTTTGTTTCTTTTTCCTTTTGTATTATTAATAATAGTAATATAAGTTTAAATATTGTAGTTTTTCTTTTCTATTAATTAAATTAATTTGTATTAGATTAATTAAATATCCGATAGAGATATGTTTTCTTGTTGTTAATTGTTGAGAAAGTTTAGATAATGTGTCAAGGTCGATATTTCATTTCATGAAGTGTCATAATTTCCGTTCTATCGTTTTTTTTCTTGTTTTTTTTTTGCTCTATGTCGATCACACTGAAAAAGAATAAAAGAAAACAAGACGAGCAGTAAATAAGACTCGTATTGATGCGTGATAAGCACAGATGAAAAGAATAGCATGCATGTGCTCAATCAACTGTGTGGATGAGTTAGTTATTAATCGTACCATACTGACGTCATTCGAAAGAACTATACGATAAAAAAAAGCGGCAATAAATTTCTGTCGTTGTGGTAACAAAAAGAAGAAAAAAAAGAAGAGCTATAGAAAGACTTAAGTATAAAAAAAACAGATTATATAAGCACACGCAAACAACAGATGAAACAGCGAAATAGGCATTGTCTTTTCCCCTTTTTATTTTCCAAAAAAAGCGCGTGCTGACAGAAAGAAAACAATTTCCATACAACGTATGTTTTGGCTTAGGATAGACTGAAGAACACTATCATCATCTCCCGCATCAATATACGTTCTTGCTATTAAAAACATTGGACTTTGCTTTCTGTCATTATTGCAACTATTATCTGCTATTATAACGTGCCATCAGTTTTTTTTTCAAATTCATGATGAATATTACGGCAACCAAGGTGAATAGATATGTATATAATTATATGGAGAAAAAAGACAAGAAAGAGTCGTATGAATATTGTTGAAGAGATAATACTCATGCTGTTAGTATTCGTATAGAAGGAAGTTGATAGATGAGATGTAAGGCGACAATTTTCCATTTTTATGATTGTCACTATAACAACGATTTTTAATTATCTTTTTTTTTTCTTCGTTAATGCAATTTTAAGATTTATGCCAACCATCTTGTCATTTCCGTATAATTGAATTGCTTTAGCTTTTTTTTTCCTCATTAATATCCTTCGGTTCAACGAATATTTATTTTAATTAAAAAAATAAATTTTTAGACATATATTCGAAAATCAAATTATAATCATTATTTCTCTTGAGCTGCCTTTTTTCATTAGAACTGGATAAAAATAGAGACAATGGACGACATTCAGATCAGAAAAAATATTGTCAGAGAATATAAAAACACATAACACTTTGAGTCTTGTTGTATTGTTTATTTTTATTCATAGTTTTACAAAAAATGTGTACTAAAAAATTTTTTTAGAACATGATCTAACGAGGATAAAGTGAGTTTATTTTTTGTTTTTCATTAGTTTTAAGATTGAAACATAAAGTAAACTTTATTTTCTATAATTCAAAGATATTATATTCATAAAAACAAAAATTCGATAAATTATTCTATTAAATACCTCGGTATAGTCGAAAAACATAACCTATTTGTAGATCTTTACTTTTTACCCTTTGACTTTAAATATTAATAAATCTTATTAATTACTATATAAATGAGAAATAAATATGCATAGAAAATGGGGTAATCAAGCAAGAAAGACAAAAACATAAAACTGAATTACGTATATGTTCTAGGAGACAAGCTTTATTAGTGTTACTACAAAAAGATGAAAGATTAAGTTGAATCCATTTGAATTTATCTAAATTCCTTTTTAGTTTACCGGATTATAGTATTATACATTTAGTGTGACGTTGAAGATTATCCCGCGTCAATAGAAATGATGCGAAAAAACTTCACTTCAATAAAAATCGATATTGAAACTTGACTAAAAGAAAACAAAATAGAAAATGCTCATATCATCTATTTCCTAGTTCTCATTTTTACTTTCTCGTATTTTTATCTTTCTTTGATGGTTTCATGCAGCTTGAAATTAATTGTCGGATGCAAAAAGAAACAAGAATTTTACTATAAAAAATATTTTGTCTTTTTCTTTCTTTTTCTCTTCTTCTCTGTCTCTTTTCATATCTTATTCTTTTGCTATTCATTTTCGCCTGAAGAATCCTCCAATAAGTTCATTCATTTGTCAAAATTACCATCCACCAGAGCCTATTTCCTTTTCATACTGATCAAGCATAGGTCTTTTTTTCTTTTTTTTTTTACTTATTTTGCACTTCATTCTTGTTTAGTCACGTCGAAAAATGTATAAGACATCAAGTAATTCTTCTGAAACTCCACAACAACACCGTCCTCCAACATCTGAAATGCAACAACAACATGCATTATCTGAAGAAATGGTTGCTCGTTATTTAGCTCGTAAACCGAATTTTCTTAAACGATGGTTTAAAGATAATGCACCAACTGATTTAATACAAGAATGTATAAGAATAAAAGAACAAAAAGAATATTTGGCTAAACCACGTGCATCATTAACACATGAAATGTTTAATAATATTGTTCAAGGTAATCAAACAAATCGTGAGTTACCATTAACATCATCTCAAGCTGTTGATTATATGAATTTAAATGAACATGAACTCTTTTTTGAGCTTATACGTGATATTGCAAATGAATTAAATGTTGACGTTGTTTGTCATAAAATTTTAACAAATGTTTCAATATTAACAAATTCAGATCGTGGAAGTCTATTTTTAGCCCGCGGTCCAAAAGATGCTCGATATCTTATTTCAAAATTATTTGATGTTACAGCTGGCTCAACACTTGAGCAATCACTTCATACTGAAGATAAACAAATTGTTATACCATTTGGAAAAGGTATTGCTGGACATGTTGCTTCAACCAAAGAATATATTAATATTCCTGATGCTTACGAAGTAAGATTATCTTGAATATTTGTAATATTATTTATTCTAAAAAAAAAAATAAGGAAATTATTATATTGTTTAATGAATCATAAAAAACTGCAAGGTTTGCTTGTGTATGTTTCTTTCTTATAATATAGAAGAATATAATTTCTAATAAAAACAAAAGAAAGTTAATTTCTAAAGAATGGTACAACAAGAGCTTTGTTTTTTTGTTGTTGGTGGTGCTGTAGATTGTACAGGAGGATTAGAATTTTTATTTGATTGTCTTGTGTATGTTGTTTGTACAGTTGAATGGGTTTTGTTTTTTCCCTTTTTTTGCTGATAAGAATTTTTTGTTTGGTTTTGATTTTTATTAATTCGACCATGACGATGATAAAATGGATCAGTTGGATCAAGTCTCATATGAGCTTTTTCATGAGCAGTTAGTGGCGGTGGTTGAGATTGTACAACAGCAGTAGGTCGTGGAGAAATGGTATTAGATTTTTTTGAACGACAACAGCATCCACTTGATTTAGCTACTGGAACATGATTATTTTCAGATGGGTTTTGTTGATAATTATTTGCTTGTCCACCGTAAAGTGTACGTGTTTTATATTGATTCATGTCACGGTCATTATATGCATACGATTTTTGTTTTACCATTATGATGAAAGATTTTATAGTTTAAAAATGCCTTCTTCTCCTATTACATATGTATATATATATACATATTTGTCTGTGCGCACAAAAAATTTCTCTCATAGCGTTAATAGCACAGCACGACATTTGTAGGCTATCACATTAATTTTCGTTCTATAAAAATTTATTGACAAAGTAGTTAATTCTTTTTTTCTTTTACTTTAATAGGATCCAAGATTTAACAAAGAAGTTGATAATAAAACAGGCTATAGAACACATTCAATATGTTGTATGCCTATTTTAAATCGTGACAATGTTGTTATTGGTGTTGCACAAATAATTAATAAAAAAACTGGTACACATGAATTCACAACTAAAGATATTGACGTAAAGAATTTTTATTAAAATAAAAAAAAAAAATAGTTTGCTCTTCAAAACATCTATAGGTCTTCCGTAATTATTTGACATTTTGTGGTCTTGGTTTATCGAATGCACAATTATTTGAATTATCTATTCAAGAATATAAGAAGAATCAAGTATGAATTTTGTTTTTGTTCATTAATTTTAAACAATTATTTGATATTATATTACAAAATATATTAGATAATTGATCATAGATTTGTTTTTTCGAGACTTTACTCTCGTCATGCCTGATGAGATTCGAATACATACACATATTTATAACGTCGTTTTGACAACAGAGACGAGAAAAGAAAAAAAGAAAGGAAAAAAAAAAGAAGCAAAAAACAAGATGAGTGCCCTCGTTTTGTGTGTGTGTGTGTGTGTGGAGTGCAAGCTTCTTGTTTCTTTTTTTGTGACTTATTCCTGATTTTTTCCCTCTTTGTCTCCATCATGCGCGCAAAAGCTAATCACGTTAGAATCTGATATATTAAATTTTCACGGAGCAATGACACAGTTTGGTTAATTCAAAAAAAACCTTCTAGAGGATATTAACATTTAATGCCATTGGGTAGACAAGAAGAAATTCAGCGAACAACCGCTCAATCTTTTTGTTCTTCTAATTTTACACGCTTGCCTTCGAACAACAATAGAACATACGATAATGGTCATTTACAGCCAACAAACATGTTATCAAATAATGAAACGAAAAATAAGACAGAGGATTTCTCACTTTTAATCAGACTTAAGGTCAGATTTTTCATATTTTTCTTCTTTCACATTTTACATGATACAAGAGACATATGACTATTTTATATACTAATAATCAGATTTTTTTGCTTTTGGTAACATTTTAGCTTCTTCTGAATCTAGCACGAAATTTATTTCGTGAACAAAATGAACTTGAACGTTTAGTACATAAAATAACAATTGAGTCACAAGGTCTTATGCAATGTGCTCGCTGTTGTGTTTATATATTAGATCGACCTGCAACATCAAATAAGCCTGAAGTAAATCTTTGTTTTTCTGAACATACAAAAGAAAATTTTATAATATTTAATTATATTTTTTATTCTACAGGATATTCATTTTTCTAAAGGATTTGATATGATTTATGGCGAAGAATTTAAAGTAACAACGTATGTAATTTCACACCAACACAAGAACAAAACGGACAATTTTTGTTTTTATTTTAGAAATGATTTTCTTGAAAATTCTCGTTATGCAAAAATTGCTTATCATGTTGCTTCAACAATGGAAACAGTTAATCTCAATGAAATAATGAATGATCAAGCTCTTGCACCTCTTGTAAAATATTTATTTATTAAAATAAAATAAAATCTTTTCTTATTGTGTTTTTTTTTTTGTTTAGTTAATATCAAATGGTGACGATACATTTGAATTAAAAAATATCTTGTGTGTACCAATTATGGATAGTGATGGTCATGTTATTGGTGTTTCACAAGTTATGAATAAATTAAATGGAAGAATATTTACTGAAGATGATGTTGCAATTATTGAAGTATGTTCTTGTTTCTTTGTTTATGTAATAAGAAAATTAAAAAAATTTGATTTATTTAGGCTTTTTCCGTTTTTTGTGGTTTGGGTATTCATAATACTCGTCAATATGAAAATGTTGTTCGTTTAACAGCTAAACAAAATGTTGCATTTGAAGTTTTATCTTACCATGTTATTGCATCAGAAGAAGATGTGCATCGTGTTTCACAAATTTCAGTACCTGAAGCAAATCAATTAAGATTATATGCATGGGAATTTAATGATATGGTTTTAACAGATGATGAAACAGTTTTAGCTAGTGTAAGAATGTTTGTTGAATTAGATTTACCAAAAAAATTTCGTATACCACATGATGTTATTTGTCGATGGGTATTAAGTGTAAAGAAAAATTATCGACCGGTGATTTATCATAATTGGAGACATGCTTTTAATGTTGCTCAAACAATGTTTTCAATGCTTACAGTAAGATTTAAAAAATAGATTTAATTAAATTAATTTATTTAGAAATTATTTTTAAGCTTTTTTTTTTTCAATTCGAAAGGAAAAACGAAATTTTCAAAATACGTTCTTTTGTTTTTCTTTATGAAAGATAAAAAAAAATGCTATCATTATTTAATTAGTTATGAACAACTAGACGATTATACTAAATAGGAATTAGTTTTGTAGTTTATTAAACCAAAATAGTAACACTTGAAAAAACAAAGACCTTTTTTTATAGATTATTAATTTAACATGAATTACCTTGATGCTTTCGAAATGCATGTTAATTATAGGTTAGACATAGAACTTAGATAAGATGAAGTATCTAAACGAAGAATGTGCGAGACTAACTTTTAGTGTCGATCTCGATCACTGGAATCAAGATCAGAACTATGAGCCAAAAATTTGTCTCAACTGCAACAAAAGATTATTGATAAATTGTCGAGTAAATAAATAAAAAAAAAAGAACAAAGTATTGAAGAATTTTATAGATATGATACGAATAAATTCTGAAATAGTTTTCTCTAGACTAAGATCAGAACTCGAAAAACTAAAATTCCTTGAATCTGGATCACTAGAAAAGAAATTACTGGAACCAGCAACAAAAAAAAACTTTGTTTTGCATATCTCAAAACCAGACTATTCAATTATTTTTGTTAGTGCATTAAATGTATTCAGAAAGGAAGTCTAGTACTATTATTTCTTGATTGATTCGTCCTTCATAAGTCAACAGAAATATTTAGAGAACTGTCAATGATTCAACTTGAATACTGAGTTGTGAACTATTGATTTCTTTCGTACGATGTTGACAGTAATTATAGAGTTTCGAAGATTTGACAATGTTTTCTATTTGAGTGATGCTTACTGACAGAATATGAATGTATAAAAAAATGATACATTGAAAAATCAATTGAGAGCTAAATACTTTCGAATTCTACATTATCTATAATATTTGGATATTATTTTATAAGAGATTTTGAATTCTCAACAGAATTTTATTTTGCTGGAGTAAATGAAAACGATTCTTCTTACAATCTTTTTTTAGAATTCTGGATTCAACTGAGAATCATGAAACTCCAGTAAAATTTGTTTCAGACTTTTGCTCTGTTGTCCAAACACTTGAGTTAATAAGATTTCTATTGTACAACTTTTTATTACTATTACTATCGGATTTAGTCTTCTACTTATGGTATAGGATCCTGCTAGTATCTCGGGATTCTCTCATTGTAACCATCCCAAGAATGGTTAAAGAAGACTAAACTGACTGATTGAATTATTGTTTATGTATTCTATCTATGATGTACTGTATGTGTATTCTTAAATTCTGAATTTTGTAGTTTTTCTTCCATGATTTAGTAAACAAAACAAACGTTTACACTTGTAACATGCCTATAAATATATATGTAAATGTTTTCTAGACCGGTGGTATGAATGTTTGTATGAGTGACTTCGAACGTATTGGTTTGTTAATCGCATGTTTAAGTCATGATCTTGATCATCGTGGAACAAATAACGCTTTTCAAGCAAAAGTTGATGCACCACTGGCAAAATTATATACAACATCAACACTTGAACATCATCATTTTGATCAATGTGTTATGATATTACAAACTGAAGGAAATAATATTTTACAAACATTATCACCCGATGATTATAAATTAGTTGTTCGTTATGTTGAAACAGCAATTTTATCAACTGATTTAGCACTTTATTTTCGGTAAAACTAAACAAATAGAAAAAAAAAAAAAAAAAAAGAGTTTGTTTATAATGAAAAAAAAAAAATCTTTCTTTTCTTTTCATTTGAAGAAAACGAGGTGAATTTCAAAAATTAGTCGAAGCTAATGAAGAACATTGGGATGATCCAACAAAAAAAGAATTACTTAGGTATAGAAATATTCAATTACGAATATTTTTATTTTTATTTTTTTTTTAATTGTTCAGAGGAATGATGATGACAGCATGTGATGTAGCAGCTATTTGTAAACCATGGGAAATTCAACAAGTTGTTGCTAAATTAGTTGCAAGTGAATTTTTTCAACAAGGAGATATTGAAAGAAATCAATTACATGTTGAACCAATTGTATGCTTAGATATTTTTTTTCTTTAGTTAATAAAAAACAAAAAATTTTTGTTTAATTTTCTTATTCATTTAGCCAATGATGGATCGAGCTAAAAAAGATGAATTACCAAAAATGCAAGGTTTGCTTTTTTTTATTCAATGAACTTTTCTTTTTTGTTTGAATTGAAATAATCTCTTTCATAGTTGGTTTTATCGATTCAATCTGCCTTCCACTTTATAAAGTAAATTGAATTTTCTTTCATAATTTAATATTCAAAAATATTTAAATAGATGCTTGCCGATGTTGATCCTGGTTTAGATCCACTTTTTGAAGGTTGTAAGAATAATCGTGAGAATTGGGAAAAATTACAACAAGAACATGACAAATTGAGTAAGTAATTGTTTAAAATAGATTAGTGTCTCTTTAAATATTGTCAATATCATAAATAAATGTTTGCTTGTTCTTTTATTTAAAACTTTTTTCATTTATGAACTTCTCTCTTAAACTCACATTGCTTTTCTTCTTGTTATTATGATTAAATACACTAAATGAATTATAAAATTTATTTTTTTGCTGGAATTTCATCAGTGATTCATTGAAAATTAAATCAATCAATAGAAAATAAAAAGAAGTTATTCTATATTTTGTTTTCATTTTCTCTTCTAGAATCACTATGGTCAGAAAGTGCCTCTCAGGTACAGAAGGTTTAGTGATTATAATATTAAAAAAAAAAAACCCGACGATGTTGTACTTCCCATTGTCATTTGTATTGTATTGTTTTCTTTTGTTTTGCACATTGTTCTTTTTCTTTTTCTTCATATTGTATTCAAATATGCAAAAAATGTTTCTAGATAAACACCGACATCGGTGATAATAAAATCTAATCATTAAGTATGATTGAAGTAACATATATAATCATAATATTAATAATCATAGAAAAATAAAATATTTTATCAAATTTTAATTATTATTATTATTTTTATAAAAATATTTTTGCTTATGTTGTGTTGTTTTGTAGTTCGTTTATATTGTATTTATCCTTTATTAGATTGAATGAAAATGAATTCTACTTTTTGAACTAAGAAATAATTTTGTTTTTGTTTTTTTTTTTCTTTGCCTTTTTCTAGGAAGCATTAAGAAAAATAGTTGAAGTGTCAAAACCAGCACTACAACCAAAAAATTTAACTTCATCACAATCAGATTCAACAACATTACTTAAAGTGACAAAAAATAATGATGAAAATTTGTCTCCTTCACCTTCTTTATCAATGAAAGAAGCAAAATCTGTCAATCGTGAACAACAAACAACATCAATAACAGTACCAACTATTGATCCAATACTTATATCAACAATACATGCTAATAAAGGTGCAATTGATACAATACGTGGACAAATAACTGAATTAAGACATGATGTTGATCACTTACGAACGCAAATTAAAAATCGTAAACGATCAACAACAAATAATACAAATTCACCACGTGTTATTCCAAATCAAGCTCCATCACAAAATCTTCCACCTGTATCATCATCTCCACCTTCGAATGTTAGTAATCGTCATCATGTATCAAAATCTAATGCTAATAATACAAATCCAGCATCATTTTCTCATCATCATCACCATCATCATCATCTTGGACAACCAGGTGCAATAGGGCATTCATCTGTTTGCGTTATTATTTAAAATTATGTTTTTGTTTTGGTTTGTTTTATTTTTCTTTTTTTGTTTTTGTTTGGCTATGCTTTATATTGTATGTATGTTTATGTGCATATGCAATTTTTATTGTTTTTCTTTTTTTTTGTTTAAAAACGGTGGAAACGAATTTTTTTTGCAAATATTATATATTTATGTACAAATAAAAATGAAATGAAGTTATCAATATTATATATTAAAATGAAGGATAAACATAAATTGATGTGGATTAATTACAATTCGATTTCAATTAAAATTTTTATTTAATTTTAAACATAAATATATTTAGTTTGATGAATTGAAGAATGAAATTCATATTATTTATGGCAGTTAGATTTGTTGTACATTGAGAAAAAAAAAGGGTTTCAAAGACAGACATAATCAGTCAATATAATTAAGTTAAAATCTGTCACTTGCTGAAAGTTAAACCACTAATAAAATATTTACTTGAAGTAATTGTATATTCTTAAAATATCAAAAAACACATGAAAAATAAGTTTTGCAAATAATCTATATGTAATAAGATCTTTTTTTATATCGATTTCATATATAAGAAAAAATTCCATATACATCAAATAGATCTCTTTCGGTATCAATTTTTATCGGATTTTTTTTTTAAAATTATGAGATTAAAAATATTTCAATATTTAGTTACATCAGAGTCAAGATATCGTGTTCGAGTTGTTATTAAGAAATTTAGTGCCAACCATAATGTTCGTATATGTATATATACTAGCTTTTGTTGAATATCTTGCTTAGTATTTGCCTATGTTCTGTATACGTAGCTATAACTTGAATTGACACATATTTGTTGCTATTCATGGATTCGAATATCATATGGATTTTTCACCTTTTTGTATTTTAGGCAAAAATTTATAACAACTTATCATTTTTAGAAGAGTTATTAGAAAATAAAGAGTAACAGTACTCGACAAAATTCGAAATGTTCATAATTGTTCAACATGTTTTTTTATGTTCTTAAATCCGTATATCAATTATTCGAAAATTTGTGTTAGAACTGTACTTGTTCCTAGGAGAAGAAACTTTTTACAAAGTTATAAAATAATAATGACGATTTTCGTTTTCTGTAGTTGATGACAGTTGACATTGATCGAGTGATAGTTATCGTCGAAATACTCTTTATAAAATCACATACTGTCGTTAAATTAGTTGTTGTAGTTGTACTAGTGAAACCTGGATCTTAAAATATGAAAACTTCAAAATCTCGTATCTATCGAAAAAAAACCCACATGAAATGAAGAAACGATTCTATTGATGAAATCATTGATTATAAATTATAGGTGATTTTTGACGACAAACAAAAAACGATATTTTCACTGATTATTCTCCTATGGAAAAATACATAAAAACTTTAACCTTGTGTTCATAGTGAATTGAGAACTTTATATATTAATATTGTATCGATATAGAAAACGAATGTCAACCAAACACAATTATATTGACTAGACAAGAGTATCATTTAATATCAAATACATTTTGATGTAAGTACCATTAAGATCAGGATGAGAGACACTATTAACTACTACAAATAAAAAAATGTATATGATGAAAAGAAATGATAGTATGCATACAACTGCTATTGTAGATTGAATAGTAAGAAGAAAGATAATTGTCAAGGATAATGTTAAATATTGAAATGTCTATAAATCCATTTTTGATATATAATTAATTTTGTTTATTTGCTTTAATGCTTAAAAGAATTCTCCTACCACTATCATTGTTTATGAACATCGTGTAGCTCGGACAGTCTTAACACAATTTTAAAATATCTACGATCTGACATAATAAAATTCAGTTTAAATTGACTGCTACGATTTTAGTTTTTTTTTTGCATTTTCACTGATTGTTTTCATGTCATAACTGATATTCGATTTTCAATGTTAATATAAGTGATACAAGAGTTTTGGGTTTAATTAATTTCTTATTCTCTATAGCGATAGATTGTCATTTTGATCGATCTGTACAAGACTAAATATTTATGACAGATTCTTCATCTGTTTAATTCTATTTCAGATGGCAAAAATATCAATTCTATTCCATACTTTTAATTAATATTATTCTCGAGTTGGTTTTCATTTAAAAATAATATAGAATTTATTTATATAAGTAATAACTCAACCTATTGCTGTATGATTCTGATATAATGATAACTGAGTTATCAACTCGACAGTAATGTAACTTGAACAATATATCTATCTTAATACTTGAAATTACACAATAACCAAATAAATAAAATTCGAAATATAGTAATAAACCAATCAAAACATGCTCAAATCGGTAGATCACCAGCTATATTCAGCTAATGAAACAAGCATTCGTTACTAGTTTATTAACATTTGAAGAGCTATTCAGATGACTCGAACTAATGTATAGAGCAAAATCTTCATCTCGTATAGAAGCAAGATAAAGGCTATTAACATCAAATTAGCAATATTCTATGATCGTCGTACAATCACTATATAGAAGAATACTTTAATATATAGATCATACCAACATGATCAAATCCTAGTTAGTTTTTCAAAAGAAACACAGTCGAATTCTCAAAAATAACTATGTGAAAAGTTGCTATTATTCATTGTATCGGTAATATTAAAAATACCTTTAATAATACCTGTTTTCCATTTCCTACTGCTCAGGTATCTCACAATTACTTGAATGCTTTTCTTCGAAGATGCATAGTGACTTTGTCTAGAATAATCTATGTAAAGGATCCTTTTGAATTAAGTTAATCGATTTTGAAAGAGTTAAAAAGAAAGATGTACGATATATTATTATTTCTTCATCAAAAAATAGTAGCTTAAACAATCTAGAAATAATATACTTAGTGCTGAAATCAAGTTTATTGTACGAATCTTATTGGTGAGTACAATGGCATTGTCTAAACGATCCTCTTGAGAATCGAAAATTGTTCACACTAATGAAAAGTGAGCAAAAAAAAGTAATAAAAAATGAGAAATGATAGTATATCGTACGACTTCTCTTGTAGCTCTTTTAAAATCGATTAGCTTGATTGAAAAAGACCTTGTACATTGACTCTTGTAGATAAAGGTGCCATGCATCCTCGAAGAAAAACATTCAAGTTATTGTAATAAACCTGTGCAGCGAGAAATGGAAAATAAGCAGTATTAAAACTATTTTTAAGACTTCCAATCCAATGAACAGTCGAAACTTTTCATACATAATTCCTTTTAATTGCCTAAAAACTCATCAAAAGACTTTTCTCATTCAGTTATTATAGAAAATTTGACGATATATCTTTTGAAAAACAAATCAAGACTTTGCCATTTTTCTGTACCGAAATACTTCTAAAAACAAACTATATTGTAAATATTTTGGTACACTTGGTATTTTTTGCTAAGGTTCTTTTCAAACGTTTCTTATTATGTACTTACCAGATATATTTGCATCTGGCAAATTATCATAAATGTCACCAAATGTACTTTCATATCTATATGAATTCAACCTAAAAGTTATTCTGAATTCTAATCAACTACAAGAATTTGAAAATCGATTTTTCAATAACTCGATTAATAGATAATAATATAGTCACTAGAAATACAATCGAACTTAATCTTACGTTGAAAATTAATATTAATCTATCACAAAACCTAGTAACAAATTAATTGAATAGAGAGATTTTGTTAAAGCAAAATTTCCAGATAATCATCTGCCTTTTATATATAAATTTCATCAGTAAAATTTGTTTCTACCAATGCAATATAAATATTTATTGATTTTGAGAAATTCAACTTTTCAGAATAATTATTAATATTAACTTGCATTATATTATTATAACAATGGATCAAAAATTATACTGAAAAAAAAACAAACTAATACAGATCTTGTGTAGTAATAAAAATTTTGATTACTATGAAAACGAAGTTGACTCGATTGATTTTTCTGTAACTAAACTACTTTTTATAATGAGATAATTTTAATTAAATTGAAAGACCAAGCAAAAATAAAAACAATGGCTAAAAATATTCATCTATGCACTCTACAAAAAAAAAGTTTAGTTCTCGATATTCGTTGAATTTTTATTCAAACCAAATAAGTTGCAATAAATCATTAAACAGAAATATTCTCATAAATAAGAAATTCAATTGTAAATAAAAACAACTATGACTTTATCACATGTTCTTCTAAAAAGTATGCCTTCATAAATCAGCATAAAAACAATTTAAAAGTTGTTCATGCTGTTTATTTTTCACTCTTCCTATTGCGATATAATGATGGTTGAATTTCATTTTGACTATTTATTACAAATTTATGAATAATTATGTTTTTTTTTTCACAAGTTATTTTTATAATATTGAAGCCATTGGTTTTTATTTCTAAACTTTTTGAATTTATATTTCGTATTTATTTAAATGATCTTTCTACATGATTTTTATATAAGATGAAATTCTTCTATGGAAACATAATGAAAAATTAGCTAGTCGAAGATATATGTCATATTTTCTAAGTCAATATAAAATCATGATTAATTCAAAACAACAACAACGAAGTTCGTTTGTTATTTTCTCTAATAATTTTACTTATCAAACAGTTGATGTAGAAGAAATTTAAATTATAAAAATTGAATTTAATATATGAAAAATTTTCAATATTGATATTGTAGGAAAATAAAGTCATCTATATGAAAAAAAGAACTTGATATTATTTATGAATTTAAATGTCTTATTGATCAGTGATGCTAAATACACTTCTCTAACATTATGCTCTGAATAAGTAGTAATTTTCGCCTTCTTCTCTACAGGCCCCCGTAGCTCAGTTGGACCAGAGCGCCGTACTTATACACAGTATCGGAGCAATGCGGATGTCGTGAGTTCGAGCCTCACCGGGGGCATCTACTCTTTTTTTTTTTCTTTTTTCTCTTTCTTTTGACATCAGCCATCTATCTCTGTCATAGAAGTCTTCGTGACATTCGATAGGAACGATTCTTGTCTCAACTAAATAAAAGATATGCA